CACCAGTGGTTCCCACTTTCTGGTGGCCCGCGGTCCCGTCGGCGGCGGTGTGAGCCACGGTGTGTGTAATTTTTCTATCTAATAACCAAATCCATTGACTAACTTCCTTTTTGTTTATTGGAAGTCATGATGGCAAAAATAACATGGCCGAACCCAAGAAGTTTTTAATTATTATTTAATGTATAAACAATTTCCTATAGAAAATTAAATAAAGGATCAATTAATAATTTCAATGTAATTCCAGCGCCTGCACAATATTGCCTGACGATTGGTCTGGATCATAGACTACAGAGTCTGGATTACTGATCTTTGCTAGGTTCTGAATTTGACTTTGTTTTTAATGATTGCTAGGTATATTATTTTTTAGTTGCCCGTGACACATTTTCATTTTTTTTTAAATTCGTGCAATTTAATAGTTTCTGCAGTTTCAAACCATGGCTGATATAGATAGGTACGTAAGTAGAATATATTACTTTAGTACAACGAATGCTAATTCAAATGAATCGACTAATGTTTGTAAACTACCTACGTAGTCTGTCTGTTAACCTTGTTTGAAACTTGAACACTGAAGCAAAATAAAAAGGCGTTTTACAAAATGTTTACTAGTCGATAAAGAGGCATAAATGTTTAAAAAATAAGAAAATAAAGAATTTAATTGTATTCTGTGCGTTCTTTTAGTTATCCTTGTTAAAAAAAATGTTAAAATCTGTATAGGGACGTTAGTTTACCCGCCGTTCCCTTTTTCAATTAACTTCTACAACTACGATCGTGGTATTGATGAAAACGATATTGCGGAAACACGACACCTCAACACTAAGTATCAGTTGGCAAGGAGAGATAAAAAGCCAAATGCTGAAAAACAATTTCGAATAAAAACCTAAATTTCTCTGTATGGAGTATGAAGGGTAGATTTGTCTGTTAAAAAGCTCCGAAAAGATGTCGATTCGGATATATTACACATCGGCTCCTAAACCTGGTAGATGGTATGGTTAATATTAAGACTGGGGTACCACAAGGATGTATCTTAGGTCCGATTTTATTTATTATGTTACAAATTATATGTTTAATTTATATAATACAATTATTCCTGACCCTAAGTAATTTGTATTTGCAGATGACACCAATAATAAAGGGAAATAACATGTAAGGATTATTAGGAGCCTTTTCGCAATGGTTCTCCGTAAATAAGCTTCTAATAAATTTCACTAAAATACAAATCATATTATTAAGGACTACGACACGAAATACAGACAGTATGGCGATTGAATTAAATGCAATAACTGTCATAGTACTACATTCCATTACAGACTACTCTACTGACTAAACGGCTGACTTTCCAACGGCGCCTAAAGGCTATTATTTAAGGTCTAAATTGCCATTTTTTTGTATGGATTTGACGCTTATAAGCATCGCCTTAGCAACTTTGGCGATTCTTAAGTTAAGTGCAATTGGGTATGACGACTTTCTTGTTTTGGGGTTTTTTCATTTCCAAATTACACAGAAACGCAGTCGGGTTTTTTAATTTTTTTAAATTACCGTTTTTTTCTTTTGGACAAAATCTTTTGGTCTAAATGTTAATAAAATTTCATGAAAGATATTAATGACGACACAATTATTTTTGGAGTTTACTCCTTAAGGATCGTTTTTCATATAAGGCTCCTCGTATGAAAAAAATAAAGAGTCAAATTTTGTTATCGAATGACCTCGTTCTGTTTTTGTGCTCAACGTATCGTGCGCACCTTTCACATAGGCGTGTATAACTTGTATACTTTTAATTATTATGTTTAAACTATTAGAGACAATGATACTTGTCAAGAATAAATCATCATCATCAACAGCCTTTAACAGTCCACTGCTGGACTTAGGCCTCTCCTTAGAAAGGAGGTTTTGGCCTACTATACCACGCTGGCCAGACGGGTTGGTATAGGGTTTGTGTCAAGTTTTCCTTCTCTCTGCAGTGCTGGTGTCCTGCGTATTTCGCTCTGTATTCTTAATCCGTCCGTCCGTCCGTCACCACACGGAATAAATGACTATGATTATGTAAAAAAAAAAAACGTACAGAGATAATGACTAAGAAACTAACTCTGATGTGATTTTTAAGCTATTGCATAGCTTCTATCGCGGGCCTTGAGCGTGAAGACCGAATCCAGAAATTCCGTAACGAAAATAACCTAACACACCCCACGTGATACTTTTTAGTTTTGCCATCTATCGATGAATAGCAGAACTTTTAATGACTTTTTTGACGCGCTTGTCTCTTTAGTTCAGCAACTCGCCTCTAGGTGGCATTGGTTGTATCGGCGTTACTGCGCATGCGTAATCCCCCTCTTCGCCCCGCAATTTAATTAATATCAAAGAAAAAAAAACAGGAAAAAAATACTGCATAAATAAAATAAATAAATAATTATTATTGCATAAAAAATGCTATGCAATAGCTTTACCGCGGCAGTCCCCGAGTGCCACACGTTTTTTTTAATACTCGTAGGTAATAGGGGTTATAAAAAAAAAAAAGTATGAAATTGCCGTTGAATAGTAATAGATATTTGAATTGACACAAAACCTTCATGGTGTGAGATTTTCGTGCGAAACTTTTTTTACATGAAACCTATGAGGTTCTTTTTTGTTAAAAATGCAATGCAACATTCGATTTTCGACTTTTAATTGTTTGTTTTATTTAGTTTAGACGTGAGAGATATATACTTCGAAAATCCGAGTCATTTTTAAATACGAGTTCCGACGCGGAACTAACGCGGCGGAAACGGCTGCATACGGAGAGGAGACTGCTAATAAACGCACCGTGCGTTTTTGGTTTAAACGCTTTCGTAATGGAAACTTCGCCTTGAAGAACGAACCACGTGAAAGACCGCCCACATAGGTGAATAACGCTGAATTGAAGGAGATGGCGGAAGCCGATCCGAGTCAAACTACCCATTAATTAGCGGCATGGTTTAACGTTACCCTACTTCCAATATTGACTCATTTGAATCAAAACAATAAGATAAAAAAATATGAATAATGGGTGCCTCAATATTTGATTGGTCTGCAGAAAGAAATGCGTGTTGAAACTTGTGTTGCCTTGTTGAATCGATGCAGAAATGAAGAAATATTGGATCGAATTGTGACATGTGACGAAAATTGGATTGTTTACGATAACCGTTATTAACTGCGAAAAATACAATGGCTGACCCCAGGTCAAACGCCGCAACAGTGCCAGCTAAACTTGCCAATAAAGCTGTTTGGTGGTCTCTTCATGGTGTTATTCACGATAGGTTTCTCAGGTCTGGTCAGGAAATAACAGCAGATGTTTACTGTGCCGAACTTCGGACAACTGGCAGTGAAACAGCCCCGACTCATGACTCGATCTTCACCATTGCATTGCATCATCTTCATTATTGCTCCAAAGAAACCGCTGGAACTCTAAAGGAATTGCAGTTAGAAACCATACGTCATCTTAAGTATTCGCTAGACCTTTTCCAAACGGACTAAAATATTTTATGTGCTTTGGACAATTTTCTACGTGACAAAAAAAATCTTCCCAGGAGGGAGTACTAAACGCTTTTACAGAGTTTGTCGCATCTAGATCGCCAGAGTTCTATGGTAAAGGCATAAATGAACTTCCGTTTAGATGGCAGCAATGTATAGATAATGCGGGTGAAAATTTTGATTAAAAATTTGTTATATCTTAGAAAAAACGAGTTTCTATTTTTCAGTACAAATGGGCAATTTTATACTTTAACCTCTAAACTATAATTTTCTACGTTATTGTTTTCCTACAGAAATAAATATCGTTAGTAATATTGTTCTAAAATTGTTATGGTTATTATTTGGAATGATTTTCTTATTCAGCATCAACTTGTTTTGTTTCGATATTCTATGCAGAAATAGTATAACATACGTGTGCAGTGTGTGCATATGTTTAATGGTGCCGTACTAAAAAAAAGTCTTGTCACGAAGGGTAAGTTTATTAATAATAATTATCATGTTGCTCTTTTTGAAAGTTATCAGACTGTCAAAAAAGACATGTTAAACAAAACACAAAACACAGTTAAACAAAAAACATACTTCTGTGGCATCTAACGAAGACACACCGAACTACGGAGTAATTGCTAATCCTGTATCGCGATATGAAAAGTTGTCACGCCGATCAACATGTATACAACTTACCAATTGTCGATGAGCCATGGCACGCCAAGCATGATCACCTCGCCTGGTCTTCGCAGCCTCGCTTTGAGCTGAAGGGAAATGATATCCGTTGCTGCACAATAATATTCCCTCTATACCGGAAGTACATTAAGACATGCAGTAAACAATAAAGCAATAAAATCAAATATTGTTATATACAGAAATATATATACGAAAAAAAACCCATTTAATGAAGTTTGAAAATACAGCCTTTGACAGGGTATATAAAAAAATGTGAATTATGAAAAATAAATATAGGTAGCAACCCTGGTAGAACGATTGAGTCGACGTGGTGGAAAATATTTTATAAAAATAGCTATTTTTTTGTTTTATTATAAAACTTTATTTTAAATCTTATAATATTGAAATATAAAAGTGCACACAGTGCTCTGTATGAAATAGTTATGTCAAGAAAATCGTTTTCATTTGTTTATAAACAACCTTTCCATTGTTCTCAATTTCGCATTCAGAGTCTAAATTGTACGGGTGCTTTGTTCTGATTGGTTGGTCTTCCTTTGATGTCGATTGATATTTTGCGCAGTCGATAAAATTTTGAAATGGACATCAAATGTCAAGTTTGCGTGTAAAGAGAAAAAATATTACGTTAAAGTTAGTAATTTTAAAGTAGTTTTAAGAAAGAATATTAAATTTTTAATAATCTAATGGTGCTATAATCGATTGTTGTTGATCTTGATCTTTAATTACGAGTTCTCGTGTGAGAAATATGTTGAAAAACAATTGTGACGTCACAATTCCAATCAGCTGAGGCGGTGTGTAAAAGGAGAGTAGAAAAGGATAAGTGCAGAAATACAAACAATATGGGTGGTGCGGTGAGCTCTGGACGTGACAACAATGAGCTGATCGACAATCTAATGGGCGGGAACTACATCCGCACGCGACAGGTAGAGCGTGTGTTCCGCGCCCTCGACAGAGCTGAATACATGACACCCGACTCCAGAGACCAGGCCTACAAGGATCTGGCGTGGCGGAACGGGTGTTTGCATATGTCTGCACCATGTATTTACAGGTGAGTATCACATCCAGTGCTTGAATTGCTATATCTTGTTCATATGGTCGCAATGTTACACTTATGAACATTGACAGTTAGCTTCGTCAGCTTAAAATCCTGTCTCAGGGGTTCTTTAAAAAACAAATATCATACAGTAGTGATTTCGGGCAATATTTTTCATATTGCCACAGACACACATTTACAACAGAATAGAATATAATAGAATAATCTTTATTGTACACCAATTCAAGATATTATACATACAATAGTATTCCAAGTTAATGACCATGTACAAATAGCAGCCTCATCGCAAAAAAGCAATCTCTTACAGGCAACCTTTGAATGGACAAATAATACAGAACATATTTGTATAATTAGATGGTATAGCAACAAGTACAATTTTGAAGTAAATCAATGTTAACTTACAAGGAGTAGCAAGTGGTTTGTGTCAAAGGTAGCCATGGATTATAGTCAAAGTAGTGTAAAAGATGATTATTATATTAATTAGAACAAAATAGTCACTTATTAAGTATGTTAGCTCTGACTACACATATAATATATAGTGGTAAAATATATACCCGTTTGTCAAATTCTCTTTAATTGCATACCATTGCTGTAAATACAGTAGTAATTTTAAGTGACTGTTCATATTTTTAGAAGAATATGGTTAATTAATAAACTATTTATATTTTGCTTGTAATAGGTATAACAAGTTACCTGTAAAAAAATGATGAAAATGAGTGTCCTACATAGCATTGGAACAGGCAACTAGCTACATGATAGAATCACACAAAATTTGTCCTGGGTGAGAATCAAACCCACAAACTCAGGCGTAGCAGTCAGGGTCACTAACCACTAGACCAACAGGCCTGCCTTTGCAACATAAAATACCTGTGAATGGTATAATTAAAATAAACAATTTTAGAAGATACCTTAAGACATCCTTTGGATACACAGGACAACACTAAAAGAATGAAACCATGGATGATGTTGGTATTGTCCGTGTGGTCTGGTACGCCCTCAACCAATCCTGGTACGCCCTCCTGTCCGGAGGGCGTACACGGCGAATGGTCATGGGGGAGAGCGCAACAGTCGTGTAGATCCCCATGGCAAGTCTGGGTGTCATCCTTCCCGTGGTTGCCGCCTGTTTTAGGTCTGATTCCCTACGAAACAGATATAACAGAAACACCCAGACGCAATTCCATCCCACAAAACCCATCCCTTCCCATTTTCTATCCCATCCACACCTACTGCGGACACTAAGTGGTTGGTGCCTGCGGCCTCACTATCAACAAAGACTGAGAGTGAGGGGGAGGGGGGGCAACCACCCGCATGTTTGTGCCGTGTGCGGGGACCCGTAAGGGAGGATGAAGGGATCCTGGTAGTTGAGCTGAAAGGCAACACACTGCTTTGGCCTGGATTTCTCTTTACACGGGAGGCTGAAGGCTAGCCACCTTTGGTCAATCGGCTGTAGTATCCCGTCAGAGGGCTGCTGGGCGAGAGCTCTTCCTTGGTGGGGGTGGACGACGGGTGGGACGACCAAGTCTTCCTACCTAGTTCGGCCTGCCTTCTGCCAGGGAGGGAGCTCTATATTTCCTTGTCACTTCTGGCGTCGTGTGCCTTCTGCCGCGGCGTCCCCACTTGAGGGCTCCAAGGAGGGTGGAAGGACAAGGAGATGAATAGTATACCAAAAAAACTATGGATACTGAAAAACCAAATAATAAAAAAACCACCAAGCCGGTACCGAGGGTGAACAACCCAAGTGCCAGGCTAAACCACCAATCGGCTGACCCCAGGGTGAACAACCCAAGGGTGAAACCGGCAAATACACCATTGGCTGCTGCTCAGGCAAACAACCCGACCGCAGCGCCATCCACGACTCTGGCGACACCTCTGGTGTCTAACCAGAATACGGAGCCAGTGTCGACCATCGACCTCTCCTCTTTGAGGGCAGCAATGCCCGTACCTGCGGGACCCGGCCTGGAAGAAACCGGCTGGAGCCTGGTAAGGACAAAGAAGAGAGCGTCGAAAAAACCAAACCCGTCCAAGAAGACCCGTAACGCCAACAGGGCGAAAGCCCGAGTGGAAAGGCAAGCACGGTGTCTGACCTCGGGTGGAAGTAAGCGGCTTGAAGTCGCTGAAGGGCCCGAAGGGGCCCACGTTGCCCCCGCCAGTGACGTGCTGCCCCGAGGCGAAGACGAAAGTCAAGCCACGGGGAAGTGTACTCCTGTGGGGGCGCCACCTGCCAAGACGCCTGTAGCGGCCAAAGTACCCTCTAGGCAGGGTCAACCTGGGCAGGGTAAACGGGCGAGACGAGCGACACGTGGAGGGAAACCTTCAAGTGATACAAAGCCCGTCAAAAGAACTCGCCCGGACGAGTCTCGCACTCCCCAGGGCAGTGGCAAGCGATTCAAACCGCTGCCAAAGACCGGCTCCACGAGCTACTCCGACGCACTAAAGGCGAATGACCTTTGCGTCGCGGTCATGCTGGAGCCTTACCACGACCTCACCAAGGCACAGGCAGAGGACATCGAGGGCCAGCTGCAGGGCGTGCTAGATGAGGAGATCTTCTCGCCCGGCACGTCAAGCGCACCCGTCGCTGCGCCACAGTTTAGGGGCAAGGCCTTCTACAGTGAGGGCGCCCTTAAGATGTGGTGCAACGACGAATATGCCCTACAGTGGCTTCGCCGATCCCTGGTGAGGATCCCATCACCACGTGAAGGCACCAAACTGGTCGTCAGGAGGCAGTCTGAGATCCCGAAAAGGATCAAGGCTGGACTCCTGGTACCACAAATCGGACCAGATGATACACTGGTCCGTATTCAAACGAGGCTAAAGTACCAGAATAGCCAGTACAATGTGGCCAACTGGGCCCTCTACCATGCCGAGGCGCAGGAGGAAAAGAAATGTCTCTTCCTAGTGCTCGGCATCCCAGAAGAGGACGTCGTGAAGCTCAAGGCTAGCGAGCGTAGAGTATACTACAAACTGGGTAACCTCTACGTCCGCTTCCTTGATGAACGTCCCGCCCCACCAACTAACCCAAACGAGGAGCCATTCGAGGGAGGAGGAGAATCGGCCCTACAACACCCTAAGGACGGCAATGGAGGGGATCCTCTGAGACCCGTTGAGGAGACAGCCTGCCGGGGTCCACCTCCTAAGGAGTTGGAGGACCTACCGGTGGGCGAGAGTGACCTCGACGACATAGAGGATATGCTGAACAGCGATGATGGCGCTGTCTGCACCCCCCCATAACACCCTTATAGCCATCCAAACCAACCTCCAGCACAGCTATACAGCAACGGCTACCCTACGCAGAGAGCTGGAGGTAAAAACCAACACCGTAGCCCTAATCCAGGAGCCGTGGATTAGGAAGGGCAGGATCTGCGGTCTAAATAATATTGGAGGTAAGATACTTCTCAACACTACCATTGATAACCCGCGCACTTGTATTTATACACCAAAACATGCGTGTACTACCTTAATGACCGAGTTCTGTTCCAGAGACCTTACCTCTATTAGGTTAAAGGAACCCTCATCAAACCTGCCTGACGTGGTGATAGCATCAGCCTACTTGCCGGGCGATGCTGACATCCCCACTCCGGAGCTGGCTGCGCTGGCACACCACTGCGAGCGCGAGGGTCTGGAGCTGATCATCTCTGCCGACACCAACGCGCACCATGCGCTGTGGGGCAGCAGGAGCAACAACCGGAGAGGTGAGGAATTTGTATCGTTCCTATTATCAACTAACCTTAACATTATCAACGTGGGCTCGGAGCCGACATTTGTCACGTCCAGGGCCCAAACTATAATTGATCTTACATTAGCAAGTGAGCATGCATCGCAACACATATCGAACTGGCATGTTTCGAACGAAGCATCGTGCTCAGACCATCGCTGGATCAAATTTAACTTTGAAATGAAACTTAAACTACCCGATCCCCGACGGAATCCCCGCACGATGGACCGGAAACGGTATGAACATCTTACTGCGGAGAATCTGCGAAGCATCAACCCAACATACGCTACGGGGACTGTTAAGGACATTGACAGTCATGTTGTCAACCTTACACAGACACTGATCGATTGCTTTGAACAAACATGCCCACTTTCCACACCCAGAACTGGACCACAGAACAAACACCAATGGTGGGGTCCGGAACTGGAAAGACTACGTCGTAAAGTGAGAAAGTTGTTCAATAAAGCAAAAAACTCGCGACTAGACCAACATTGGGATGCCTACACGCAGGCCCGACAACAATATAAGAAGAGAATCAGAACCAGGAAAACTGAGTGCTGGAGAAACTTCTGTACTAACATAGAGAACAACAACCAGGCCAATAGAGTCAAAAGCATACTGTGTAGTAGAGGCGAACACAATCTTGGCTCACTGAAGAAGCCTGATGGTAAGTATACCAAAACAGACTCGGAAGCCTCAGAGCTGTTATTAAAAACACACTTCCCTGGATGTCGCATATCAGATGTGATGGAAAAATGGGAAGACAGATGGGAAAAACCACCAGATGATACAGACTGGGATACGGCCCGCAAAGTTGTCACCCATGACAAACTAAGATGGGCAATTAACAGCTTCCTACCATTCAAGGCGCCAGGACTAGATGGTGTCTTCCCAGGCCTACTGAGATGGTGTGATACGACATTACTGGACCATCTTATAAAAATCTACAGGGGCTGCCTGGCGCATCAGTACATCCCCTTGAAATGGAGAGAAGTTAAAGTAGTCTTCATCCCCAAACCTGGTAAAGGTGACTACACACAACCCAAATCACACCGACCTATTAGTCTCACATCTTTCCTACTAAAGGTTCTTGAGAGGCTAATAGATAGGGAAATCAGGGAAACTGCGTTAGTCAGTCATCCTCTACACCTCAATCAACACGCATACTCGATGGGTAAATCAACAGAATCTGCCCTACATCGAGTTGTTTCATATATAGAAGACAATCTAAATCACAAAAGGTCAACACTGGCCACCTTTATCGATATCGAGGGAGCCTTTGACAAGACCAACTTCACCAGCATTAGCCAAGCTCTGTCTAGGCATGGTGTTGATTCCACAATCTCAGGGTGGATCGACAGCATGCTAAGATATAGAGCTATACAATTCACTGTGAGCGAAGTGACTAGAGGAGTGGTGGCTAGAGGTTGCCCCCAGGGCGGTGTACTCTCCCCCCTTCTATGGAACATTGTTGTGGATGAGCTCATCGCACAACTTAATGACCAAAGATTCCTCACAATAGGCTATGCAGACGATCTTACCATTCTCATCAGCGGTCCTTTTGAGAGCATTACATGCGATCAAATGAGACTTGCACTGAAGATCGTGGAACAATGGTGCGCAGCACACAACCTGACAGTGAACCCATCCAAAACAGAGATGATCATGTTCACAAACAAACGCAGCCTAGGAAATCTCAGACTTCCCAAGCTATTTGGAACACAACTTACTCTCACCAAAGAGGTCAAATACCTAGGAGTAATACTGGACAGTAAACTCCTGTGGAATAAGCACCTCGATGAAAAATTGAATAAAGCCTGCATTATTTTCTGCCAATGCAAGCGGCTACTCGGCAAAAGCTGGGGACTATCACCCAAAATTACTTTATGGCTATACAGGACAGTCATAAGACCAATAATCACTTACGGTGCTGTTGTCTGGTGGCAGAGAACAGAGCTAAGCACCGTCATAAACAAACTGCAGCAATTCCAGCGACTCCCATGCTCCGCGGTCACTGGCTGTATGCGCACAACGCCTACTGCCGCACTGGAGGTGGCTCTTGGTCTGCCACCCCTGGATCTATTCATACAGCAGGAGGCCGCCATGGCGATCATTAGACTCAAACACCTAGGTCTATGGCACAAAAGGGAGGGATCGCACTCTAAATTATGGGATCAATTGGTGGAATACGAACCACTGATAGCAGCTCCATGCGATAGAATCCCAAAACACCATATCTTCACAAGAAGATACTACATCCAGATACATGGAAATGACCGAGATCAATCCGGCATTAACGAAGTCCGAATTTACACGGACGGTTCCAAGACTAGGTCAGGAACTGGAGCCGGCGTTTTCTCGCAAGACCTAAATATAAACATATCACTAGCGTTAGGCCAACACAGCTCCATATTTCAATGTGAATGTGTGGCAATAACTTACGCCGCCACAACGGCCATGTCAAGGGGTATCAAGGACTACAACATCCGAATAATATCCGACAGCATGGCCGTCTTAAAGGCATTGGAGGGCAACACAATGACCTCTGGTGTTGTCCTCGAATGCCACCAAGCACTGGAACAGCTCGCTATATTCAATGGGGTACTCCTCCAATGGATTAAAGGGCACAGTAACTCACACGGGAACGATGCCGCAGATGAGTTGGCAAGGAGGGGCTCGGCAACCCCAACCTCTGGCCCAACCCCACTCCTGCCCATATCGTTTAACCAAATACGATGCTGGGTCAGGCAACGGACCTGTGAAGCACACAACCGGAGGTGGAAAAACTCACCCGGCTGCAGACAGTCCAAACTGGTGCTGAATCAAGTCACGCCACGACTAACCTGCAGACTGATCAGTCTTAGCAGACCGGAAATCAAAATGGTTGTCGGAACTATTACAGGACATCTAGCCCTGAACCGACAACTATTCATAGTCAATGCGACGGACAGCCCCCTGTGCAGGGGGTGTCTGGAAGCTGAAGAAACGGCCGCCCACGTAGTCCTGGAATGCGAGGGAGTGGCCCCACAACGGGCAAATATCATTCCTGATATAAAGTCGCTCCTAGAAGCCTGTGAACGCCCCAGGAGGCTTCTGCGCTTCTGGAAGGAGCTTGGCTGGCTCACCTAGTCAACCAATCCCCGACGCATAAAGGACCACTCTGAGTCTAAATGCGGAAACCGAGGCCCACAACCAATACCAATACCAATACCAATTGTCCGTGTGGTGATGGATTATGAATACAGAGTGTCACCACCCCTATTCATCCCTTGGGTGTCGTAAGAGCCGACTAAGGGAGCTTACTACGCAAGACAACAGCACTGCAAACAGAAGTAAAACTTGACACAACCTTATACCAAACCTCCTCCCTAAGGAGAGCCCTATGTCCAGCAGTGCACTATTAAAGGCTGTTGATGATGATGATGATGATGTGATGAGATGATGTTGGTATTAAAAAGTACTTTAAAAGAGAAATTTACTTTTTAGTTTTCCTGCATAGTTTGCTCCCTCATTCGGCTCTTATGACACCTAATGGTTCTTATGAATAGGGGTGGTGACACTCTGTTTTCTTAATCCGTCACCACACAGAACTAGACTATAGAAAAAACGTATAAAGCTAAAATTTTAAACAGTCCATATGTCCTATAAAGTTAAAAATTATGTAAAATAAGGTGAATAAAACTACAGGGGTCCAATAAAAATGTTTTTACTGTAAAAGCCCGAACTATGGTAAAAAGATTTACTGGACTTATTGGACTTGTACGGAGTGCCAGATCCCCCATATTGTTGGTGAACCATGTTTGTTAATCAACATTTATCTTGTATTTGAAGTAAATCTTGAGATTTACCAAGTGAATGGTCGTAAATGATCGAAATTCAGACAGATGACTATAACTTGTTGGTAAATCTTAGGATTTACCGTAGTTTGAGTTTTTACAGTAGCATATACAATGTTAGTTTAACTTATACTGGTTATTAAAACCAGGTATTCAAAACGATCGAAATTCAGTCGACAGACAACCTCTAGTATATATAATCACTTAGTTTCTATACTTTGTTATTTTATAATTTAAATATTTCATACTGACAGTAGCCTTGTTACCATTTAAAGAGAAACTGTAGTGTATTATTAAAAATATGTGTATAATCGTACCTGAGCATATACAAAAATAACTGGGGTGCTTTAACTCCACAACCTCCACCATATTTCTAATGGTGTTACTCAAAGGCTGATATGCATTTGTAGGCGAGCTTATTGACCTTGCTTGTTCACTTCCCCCTATACTATAAAAATCAGTGACATGGGATCCTAGGGCAGTAATTAAAGAACTAATTTCACCATGACACCACTAGGTGATGACGATATTATGATACATGACAATATGTGCAATTAGTGTACAATATGTGTAATTATTGACAACTAATGTCACTAATTGTATGGAATCATTATAAATAAAAATAGTAATAATAGAATTGGCGTAGTGGTTTAAGCAGTCGCCACACCATTCACTACTACGCTGAGTGTTGTGGGTCCGATCCCCACATGGGACGACACTTTGTGTGATCCACAAATTGTTGTTCTGAGTCTGGGTGTTCTTTGTATCCGTTTCATGTATGTTTGTAAAGTCCCCCGCGACACAGGATAATCCTCGTGCGGGATCCTAATGTGGGAGTTGTATTTAAAAAAATAGAAATAGAATAAATACATAGTTCAATGTTCATTTTTGTATAAATTTTGTTTCTCTCCTTAGCGAGGTACTCGAGGGGCTAGAATTGAAGCCGGGGCTCTCATTCCTAAATGTTGGTTCCGGCACGGGTTATCTGAGTACCCTTGTGGGTCTCATCATCGGATCGAGTGGCATCAACCATGGCATAGAAGTTCATCCAAACGTGCTGGAATATTCTGTCAAGAAACTTGGACAGTTCATTGAAAATTCACCCGTTTTGGATGATTTTGATTTTTGTGTGCCGAAATTTTACAGTGGTAAGTCCTTTAGAAAAGAAGTTTTTTTTTTTTTTTTTCTCTCTTTGCCCGCATAATCTTTGACAATAAATACATATACTGGGTGTTAGCAAAGTACCGGAACAGGAGAATAATTCGCTAGGGATGCATTTTTCGGAAATATGATAAACCCAAAGTTAGAGGATTTTTTCCTGGCCATCCATTGGTGACCTTGAAGGTTATCTCAAATTCAGATCAGAGTTTACATATTCATAATCTAAGGTCTCCACTGAATAGCCAGGAAAAACCCTGAATCTTGAAGCTTGTCTCTGGGCTGAAGAGATCTTTAGAGGTCAAAATTAGTGTACTGATTTGATTCAGGGTCATATCCGATTGTAATTTTTTCCTCTCTTTTCAATTCCGTGCTCAAAAATATGCAGTATGCAAAATTGCCCTTGACCTTCAAGGTTTTAATCAAGGTCAATTTAATATAAATAAGTTCCTAAGTGGCATATCGGTTTACGTCTCTCAATCAGCAGAGGTTAAAATTGTACGGGCCCATCGCATGATAGATGGGGCCAAGACATGCGACTTCGACAGGCCTGCGAATTGCGGCCCAGGGATAGGTTTAGGGAGTCCTTGTCCCTCCTTGCAACGCGTCAGCGCTCATCTCCACTGTCTGCTGTTGATACCCCCTCTACCTAACCATAGTTGATACGAGCCTAGCAATGCCGCTTTGGATATTCATTCTAAACCCTTCGAAACGGCCTTTGAATTAAAATTAGTGATGAATTACAGATTTTTCTCTGTAGTTCGACTATTTAGATTAGATCATACTGAAGTGATTAAGTAATTATATATTTTTTATTTATTTAACAATATTTCCATTATTCCCTTTAGGTAATGGTATGTGTTTGGCGCCTCTGCAACCTCCCTACGACCGTCTCTACTGTGGGGCAGGATGTCCTCTGGAATTCCACAATTATTTTAAGCAACTTATTAAGGTGTGTATGTTTTGTGTACTCAACCAATAACTTAACTTACCTTGTGTCTAACGTAAATTCGAATGAAAAAATAGCCGAATTGGTCGAGCCTTTCTCGAATTTTTGCGCTTAGCAACACCTTTGGCGGTTCATTTTCGATTCCTTTATTATTTAAATTGATAGACAACTGAATTTTATGGTAAAACTTCTATCAAACTTTCTTTTCAAGCGTATTTTTTTACTATAATTTATTTTTGAGTCTTGGATTATCATGAGTCCTTGAGACAAGACCTGGGGGCCGCACGCTCTCGATGGCGACCGTATTCAGCCTTGCCATGGATGAAGAGCTCAGTGCAGGCTAATTGCAACGCCCAACGTCACCACCGTGATCGAGTTGATGTAAAATAAACTTAGACTTAAAAATAAAATTAGCTTTTGTATCATCATCTTTACATTCATTTTGTTTTAAGGGGGTCTCTTTTTAAGTATTAAATACTTGTGACAGGGGACTCTATAATCACAAGTATAGAAAAGCTTAAAAAAAAAAAAAACATACACATTACAATTCCAACAACAACTTTTAAACATTATCATAATCTAAGGTTATAAGCCATTCCATCAATGTCTCTTTAAAATTTTTAAATTTCTTTTTGTATATATTTAGGCCTCTCCTTAGACAGGAGGTTTTGGCCAGACGGGTTGGTATAGGGTTTGTGTCAAGTTTTCCTTCTCTTTGGAGTGGTGTAGTCCTGCATAGTTTCCTCCCTTAGTCGGCTCTTACGACACCCACTTTTATTATTCAATCTGGTGTTTTCTAATATTTCTAGGTTGGTGGAGTGTTAGTTATGCCACTCAGTGATAATTTGGTGCAAATTAGACGCACCTCCTTTGACGGATGGTCATCGCGCAACTTGCTCAACGTATCCTTCGCATCCCTGAGGCTACCCTCTAAAGAGGAGGCTTCAGATCTACTCAGACTTGGTAAGTTCTCCCTATTTTCAAACGTTTGATAGCGGTATTCGTTTGTTGACCAAAAGTATATTACATATAAAAACTATTTAAAACTAGGGATGTTCCCAGTGAACTGCCTGTGCGCTAAGGCGCCGCAGGTATAGACTGCACAGACAGTACCTCGTAAGCGCCTATATACCTCGTGAGCGGTCTGGCCACCTAAACATAGAGTTTTTATATCAATTATTTTATACACTCTGAACACTGCTGAACATAGGCCTCTCCTTAGAAAGGAGGTTTTGGCTGGCCACGCTGGCCAGACGGGTTGGTATAGGGTTTGTTTCAAGTTTTCCTTCTTTTTGCAGTGCTGGTGTCCTGCGTTGTTTTTCCCCCTTAGACGGCTATTACGACACCCACGGGAGGAATTGGGGTATTGACATTCCGTATTCTTAATCCGTCACTACACGGACAAAATAAAATAAAATTATTAGTAGTTAAAAACATATGTTATGGCTCATCTTCATAGTTCGTGAATGGAATTAATTAAATCATTATAATTGTGACTGTGTGGTAGAGAGCCATTTGATGAAGGTGGCTTAAGGTTGCTTAAGAGTTTTTAAAATCAACGTAGGCATTTTAGGACTAAATATTTTCTTACATACGGGAATAGAACCTGCAGAACTGAGTACTTTAGCGGGATCAATTTTTTTTTTGCGATCGTGCGGTTTAGTTAGGGTTTCGAATAAATAAGACTGATTTCCAGGTTAGGAGAAATAGTTTAATTCAGTATCGATACAGCTCACAGCATACGTGGGGTCTTTGAGTGAGTCAGGGACGATGTCGGGGAAGGCCGCTGGTCTCCGGGTGGAGTCACTTCCATGCAGCGACAGGTTGTTCAGCAGTACATTTTAATGCGGTTCGGTAAGCGAACCGACAGGTAGGCAATTATACTGTCTTGTGGCTCCAGCACCAATATTAATAATTAGTTTGGTCTAGTGGAATTACATAATATATAGTAAATTATAGTAATAGTTTCGTCTAATGTCTAATACATACCTGCGTGCTTGTGAGCGTCAGTGTGTGTGTGCGTGTGTGTGCGTGCTTGTGAGCGTCAGCGCGTATGTGCGTGCGTGTAAATTACAGTATATATTATAGTACACTAGCTGACCCGGCATACGTTGTTTTGCCATATACATTATTGCTAGGTAATATTTAAAAAAAAAACGCGTGGGTCACCCTTGTCATTTAGGGGTATGAAAAATATATGTTGGCCGATTCTCAGACCTACCCGATGTGAACACAAAATTTCATAAAAATCGGTCCAGCCGTTTCGGAGGAGTGTGGTAACTAACATTGTGACACGAGAATTTTACATATAAGATAAACAACTTTGTATAAAATTTATCTGCTTCACGATATTTTACTTTCTCATTTACTATTTAAAATATGGAAACTAATGCACAGTGATAATATTCCAATAGAGGAGCAGTGTCCTCCCAGTCTACAAATCCTCTCACGGGCGGTGGTGCGCGAGTGCATGCGCGACGCGCACTTGTCCCGCAACCCGCAGCTCCGCGAGCCTCCCCCCAGCTCCCCAAAGGCCGGTAACTCATGCCCGAGACGGATCTGCATCCCCATCGACGACGATAGCGATGTCGGTGAGTTAATGTTATTTGGCTTCGTTTGAAGTTTGATGTCAACAAATAAGTCTTAGTAAGGGAGTTAAGTGCAAAATTATATTTGGTCTGCACAGTCCACAGAATACCCCCCAATATATTCCGCATGCAGGGCCACAAAGGCGCGCAACACATACTTGCTGTAGCAAGAATATGACGTAACACTAAGAATCATGACATTAGTAACGACCAAGTTCATATAATTTTACTGGACTTGTATGATTAGCACGTAGTTTAGCATGTATAAGGTACAACTCACAGGTTTTCAAGAATTATTTCAAAACTATAATATTCACCACAAAATTTTTAATGTACAGTGAAAATTAATATTTTTATCGACAAAAGAAGGTACATACCCCTTAGATCGCGAACTAGAATTTTTTGAATCTTGTTTTTGTTCTCAAAGTGTTGGCTTTTTACTTGTATCACTTTTCACAGGAGGCACGGAAATAAATACATTGTTTTATTTTTTTAATCAATATCAAATATATGTACATTGATCAATATATTTATTTATCAATAATCGAAAATAAAATAAATATCAATAATTCAGATCATCAAAACATTTATCGATCAACGTCCCAACCCTGTCCCATCACTATGGTTTGGTGCATTCTAAATTTGACCTTAAAATATCCCATCACAACGTATTTGACACGCCCCCCTCATCCCTTGCATACCGCCAAATTTGGTGAACTCGAATCGGAACAAATATTCAATAATGCGGAATCTATTAGGGGGTAATCTGTGGCACAGTCCTACAATAAATATTTGTCATTACCCTCCTACACACCGCGGTTATTACTTGGTACGCTGTTATGTATTTTTATATATTATGTTTTACCAATAATTATCTTTTTCAGAGGGTCTTAATGCACTTCATGATCTCGACAATGTCAATGGCGCAAATGAAATGAATGCACTACTTAGCCTCGTGCTCAGTATGGGACAGAACCGCGTGGCCGGAGCGCTTCGTTTTGATTCCCTAGACTCACCGTCTTCCTCTTCATCCGAAGAACAAGACAATGGAGGTGGCGGTGACAACGACGACAATGACGATAATCCAGACAGACCGAGCAGACCGTCTCCACCCAATGGAACAGAACGACCCTACAGACCCGAACGACCCCACAGACCCGAACGTCCCCACAGACCCGAACGACCCCACAGACCCGACTGCACAGAAAGAACAGAGAGATCAGATCCTATCGATAGATCAGACAGTTACGAACAAACCGACAACAGAAGATCGTCTTCGGAGCCACCAACAAATGATGAGTCGCCTAATCGGACCCGGTATGCTGCTAATATACATCTACCTGGATCGATTCGTACGCACAGTCTCATCACCTTTGAGATCCAAGACAGCTCGGTAAAGAACGCCGGGTCTAGTCGATGCACCGCCACTAGCTCCTCCAACGATAGACAAACACCTGAAAATAATAGAGAAACTAGAAGAAGGACGAGTATGAGAGGTGTACCGACCGAGGTCGAAATTTATTTAGGTAAGGAAAGACCCGGTACTTCTCGCTCTAACATGGACTGGGAGGCCAACGCCGAAACGAAAAGGGAGACTTCGAGCGAGGAGGACGCGACCGAGACGAAGAAAGGAAAGAGAAAGAAGTTGGACAGCGGTATAGGGGAAGGGACGACCACGTCTAGCGGGTCGTCGCCCGACAAGACCGAGTCGAACGAAGGAGACGAATCGGACGTGGAAACGGGACGGTCCGATAACGTTTCGGAGACAGAGACCATTAGAAGTGAGTACTTTTCTGCATAGCAATATATATTTAGATATCAATGCAATATCTTTTGTATCGATGTAAAGTAGTATTCGTAATTTGGTATTCATGTCACTAAACAAAATGTCTTATGAGAGAATTCTAATAATCTCTACTGTACGATAGTAGAGATTATTCGAATTCGAATAATTTGATAATAACAAAAGTTAAAATTATAAAAGTTAAGTAGGTACGAGAGACTTATTAACGAGTGTCGTGTGCGCGTGCAGTAGTGCGTCGGCGGCGCCTGAAGCGCAACCGCTGCTCGACGGGCGGGCGCTCGGGCGCCGCGCGCTCGCCCGGCGCGGCGCTACGGCGCAAGCGTCGCGCCGCGGAGTACGCGCGCGCCGCCGACGAGCTGCGCCCGCGCCGCGGCACGGACGCGCGCCGCGTGCGCCTCTCCATCCTCATGAAGCGCGGCGTCAAGGAGCTGCCGCTGCCCCACGCGCTCAAGAAGTACGTCAACCTGGGCCGTTGCTTCGAGTTCTAAACGCGCGCTTTCGACCACGGCGAGCGCTTCGTCGTCGTCTTCCTCCCTAGCGAGCGATGTAATCGTTCATACCCGCATCGATGCAGCCGATTTAACCTCACGAGCGACGGTTTCGTATCTGTCTGCCTCGAATTTTATTATATAATAAGCATACTCTCTGCGAACCGAAAGTATGAGTTCACGTGTGCCACCCGAGTGATTGATGCCTTCTAATATTCATACACAATTAATATAAAAAATTAAAAAAATGTTATGCAACACGAATGACGTCATAGAACTGCTTAAAATCCATTATGCTATTATGAAACCATAAATATCCAAAATATTATACCCATTTCCAGGAGAGTATAAACAGACATTAAAAATGGTATATTACAACTGTTTACAATCAAACATAAAATTAAAAAAAAACGCCGTCTTTATTTGCCAGCGGTGCCATATTAAAAAAATTAAAACATCGAATATTTTATCTGTATATTCACTTAATGTTTTTTTCGGTTCTGAAATGTTTTCGCATAATTTTCTGAAATCATATTTGAATTCCTTTAAAAAAACTGAATCTTTGTTTTACCGATCGGGCTCCTCGTCATTTCAATTCAATCGTCTAGTTATCCTCTAATGTCATATTAACTGTAATTGTAATGTTACCATCCTAAATTTATAAAATATTTTACACTCGTTGGAATATCTAGCAGAACATTTAAAATAATTATCTATTTAAGTTCAACTTGGCTCTTTAGAACGCTAAGGATGCTTCCAATGTTAGCCATTGAAAGCACTACGGGTACCAGTTTGGGGTTTATAAGATCCATCTTCTAAAATATCAAAATCCCAAATCATCTGCACTTTAAATTTATTTAAATTATGAACAACTTTACTTTAGATCTTTATGTATAATTAAATTTAATAATATGAATTAACTATTTACCAATCTTTTGGTCCTTCGAGCCGATGTTAATAGTGATTTTAAAACGGATAAGTTCTTCATTTTGTGATTCGGTTGTTTAAGAATGCGTGTGATTTGGGATTAGGATGTTTTATGGCCATGTGTTATTAAAAAAAGTGTGGACTTTTAGTCTGTATTGAGGGATGGTTATGTTGCAAGACCGAGATAAGTGCCTTTTGTCCAGACTTGATCGCACTCGCATATTTATATTGTTCAATAAGCTCGAATTCGAAGATATTAAGTCTAAAAGACTCGAATAGATTACAGTACACAATTTTTTACAAGTTTTTACACCTCGCAAGGAATATAGTAGGATCAGATTAAACTTCGGCGGTGCAACATAACACATCTCAAATATTATAGTTAACACCATTCGCTGGTGAGTACTGCAGTTATTGTAGAATTGTCATTTATTAATAAGTCTGGCGGCTTAGTGCGAGCTTATTTCACAGCAACTCGACGGTAATCGCGTTTGGACTTTGCTATTGGTCCGCGCTGAACTCTTCACGCAATTGATGTGAAATAAACCCACACTAGGCCCACTGTAATCGCATTGTTCAGTTCGAACGTGCGCATGAGTATGGTTGGTCTTCCTTTTTAATAACCGGATAATATCCGGCAAAATGCTCAATACAGCTGTATACATCTCTATTATCGTTTAATATTAAACAAAGGTTATTATTACGATGTGCAGTGATATTTTTTGCCGTCTCAGAGGCGTCATTAGAGCTTGCATACAATTACAAAAAGGTTTAGATAGATAAGGGTTCACGTATGAGATAAACAGAGATTTTTTTTTATCCTTTTGAATTACTAAGACATTAAGACATCAGGCGCAGGCACAGGCGTCATTAAGCTGATACATTGCAGCATTGATACATCACATGTCAGTACGTTCGGACGGAACATGACTAAATGTGTCAATATTTACGCAGCTTTGGTAAATTTTATACCTGTTTTTTATTTTTCTACCATTTGTATATATCTGATAAGTTGATGTTATTGTAACTAGTGATTAATTTGAGTTTCGAAAACAAATGAGACTTCTATTGGATTAGGATTTAAACAGTTTTTGTTTTAACAAAAAAAAAAGCTTTTAAAAATAGAATGCCATTTAAAAAAAATGGAATTGTAAACTTATATGTCGGTTTACTGAATTGCATTGTAAACCTACTTCGTTGATTGTTTTTTTTTGAACTTGGAAAATACGAATGAGACCTATCCTTTATGGACTAGATTTAAGCACTAAAAAAAGTTTTTAATCGAAATAGAATTCGAGTTTTTATCAGTAAAACTAAAAATGTGTGCAGGCTTAATTTAAGAATTTGTGTTACACCGGGGCGGGGCTTTGTCACGATAAGATGGCTGATAAGTTTCAAGTGAGTTGATTTCACACATTCGTATAATTTTTGTTATTCATTATTGTGGTTTTTCAATACAAACGAGGAGGCATTATCTGGTATGGTTTAACCTCCTACGCGTCGCCGTCACAACAGTTGTGACACCAAATTTTTACGCGGTAGCGTCTCTGTCACAACATTTAGAAGAATATATATCAGGGATTCCAAATATGTTTATTTCATTGAATATAATTATAAAATCACGTAGATATTGAGGTAATAATGACTTCGCTCAGCTGTGACTGGGTCACTAGTTCAAGGGCGCGACAGTAACGGGTCATAGGTCCTAAGAGTTAAAGTTGTATACGAGGTCAAACTTGACCAGGACATTTAAATATGAAGTCATTTGTAAGACAGTTTATAGCTCGATTACACTGCATAGTAGTAATAGTGTTTGCCTTATCAAAACCGTGCTTAACACTGAAACCAATTACAGTGTAAATAGGCTTTTTGTTGGAACACTTATCAGGAATGTAGTTATCTACCCCCCCTAGCCAGTACCCACATTGCTCAGTAAGTCTTGTCAAATTGGTTTGTGTACGCTACAAAATTCAAAAGTTCTGCACCGATGGAGCTCAAATTTTGAGACGATTTACAATTCGCTTCAAAGATATTGGAACGAAGTTCCTTATCGCGCGTTGTGAAATGCGCTAGACGGAAAAAAATCTCACGAAAAGTTGTAACGACACTTTTTATGTCAGTCATTCAGCGCCATCTATCGAATAGATAGGAAATCATTACTTTCATCTCAGTATTTATTTTGAATTGTCACTTGTCAGTCATTCAGCGCCATCTATCGAATAGATAGGAAATCATTTCTCAAGGAGATTTTACCAATGTATAAATTGTTTTAATTAGAAACCAACTGAAAAATATGTAGGTAATAGCCGATTTCATAGATGGCGTTGTAATTAAAATCGTGTCGAATCAGTTTTACTCGATCGTCACAACTTCGTTCCTATCGGGTGTCCCACGACACCACACGGCTTTTTTTGTATTCATTTTTCGCGTCAGTTTTTTTTCTTTATTTCTCATCAATGCAACCACAACGTGCTACAGCGAAGCGTGGCAGGGTACATACAGTTTTATATAATTATGTATTTTGGAGTTAACGCGCTTACGATAGGTATTAAGTTCATACCTTTGAAACGTCTGACGTTTCGATCAGAAAACCAATTCTTGTAATAAAGGTGCGGACAAAATTCAGTAACGATCAACTCTCGATCTGTCATGAAAGTAATTTTCGTAGTAATATAATAAAAGTACTTACTAAGACTATCTGATTATCGATTCAAATTTCGATTACAATACGATATAATCACATTATGACTGTTGGATGTTTAATACTTTACTGCGAAAATACCTTTTACTAGCTGACCCGCGCGACTTCGTCTGCGTCTCTCAATAGTAATAAATTTTCTCCGTTTTTGAAACATTCTTCATTGGTGCTCAGCTCCTATTGGTCTTAGCGTGATGATATATAGCCTATAGCCTTCCTCGATAAATAGGCTATCTAACACTGAAAGAATTTTTCAAATCGGACCAGTAGTTCCTGAGATTAACGCGTTCAAACAAACAAACAAACTCTTCAGCTTTATAATATTAAGTATAGATGACAGTTGTGAGATCGAGGGTTGATCGGAACTGAACCGTTACCGAACTTTTATTACGAGAATTGGCCTTCAGGTTGCACTGGCCGCGGTCACAGGCTGACTGTAAGTGATCAGAGGCAACGTAATAGTCCTTAATACCTATCGTGAGCGCGTTTATTCCCGTGAACATAGATATATAAGTATAGAGAGAACACGGGGTACAGCTGCCTGAAGTGGAAGCGATACAGGCAACGAGAGAGAAGGATGCTCGACATTTTCCTCTGTCTCTGTTTAACTCTCTGTTGAGCTAAGCTGCGCTTGGCTACTTATTGACCCCTCATATTCCCCAGCCAACCACAGAGCTCGACTAGAAAGAGATAGAGGGGTCTCTCGAACATCCATCTCTCGCGTTGCCTATATTGCAAGATTGTTCTCTCTAGGTTATATCTCTATGAATGCGATAGTTATAAGTTACTCTTTTTTTTAAATGATTATAAAATTCACCAAAGTTGAGTGTTTCTATTGACTATAAAGCTGGGTACACATGATACTCTGTTTTGAATTGAATTTTTTATTTATAGGGTGGTTTGCAAAAATGATCTAATCCATTCACCTAACTTTCGAAAGCATTGGAATAACCTATCATAAAAAGATCATAGAATGAAATGAGGTCAAATTTAATTTAACTTTATGGATATGATCATTTGTGCACAACTATCTAAAATCAGTTATTTAAGTTTTCACTTGAGAATACACTCCTTGCCTCCAGAGTCTCTTTTTTACCCCCTTCATTCTTCATTCTCATTACCCACTCCTAAACAGTAGATGGAATGAACAAAGTTAAACAACCGTTTATCACTAAAATAAGGACGTTACCGTGATATTGTAAAATGCAAAACAGATTCTCCCACACCATGCTAAACATTAAGAAAAAAAAATGCTATTTCCCTTCATTGCAATATGTTTCTTTTGGACATCAAAATAGAGGCCAGTGTCGTGTGTACCAAAGTTTGGGAGAGTTACGATAAATGCTTATATGATATTAATTGGTGTAAATAATGTCCTTTGTTTTTGTTGCTAGTAATAATAAATATATTGATTTTATTATGATATCAGTTTGTTTTATTTGAGGATATCCTTTATTAGGGTTAAAAGAAGGCGAAATTCGACCGTATTTTATTTATATCACACCGTGGACGGGATGGTGTAGTTCGCAATTATGGTGTGTATTATATATACCTTCGCCTACACTGCCTTAACTTTGCGGGACATCAACGCTTACCGTTGCATGCCGTGGTGTCCTTCCTCGCCGTGGCCGGGATGCCGCAGCGTGCTTGGGGTTACCAGAATGAAAATCGATTTACATTTATTATGTAAGATTACCCGTTTTAAAATGAAAGTAAATAAAACTGCATTGTCAAGAAATTAAATACATATTTATTGTCATTTATACAATACAAACTACGTGTAAACTATTGTCTTAAATAAATAATATTAGAACTAGGTGAGTATTACGCGGTGGGTGCTTCACGTATAGTGTATTTACATCTTTAACAAGTTATATTCATACGTTTTTTATATATTTTTACGAAAGATTGTCAGAACTCGTATACAGACAAACAAGAGAGCCTCACATTTAATAACAAATATGTCAAATTATACACAAAAGGAATCTGATCCATTTTTCAGTAAATTAAAATGCATGTATGTACAAACAACCATAGACTTAAAATTATTGTAGTTTTATATTCATCTACGTTTTTACCCGACTGCGCAAGAAGAACGGGTTATGATTTTCGATTGTATGTATGTATATTCCTTTGGCACGCTGTGTAGTTTAAACGGCTTAGTGGATTTAAGCGTTTAATTTGTCGTTAGATTCGTCCTAATAGTGAGTTGGGTATGTAAAAAATAAAATCTCCGGTTTGTAAATTTTAAGTACCTACCCACATATACGTCATTATTACGCAGTCGGGTGTTTTGTTTTTTCAATAATTACCTTGTTAATGACCCTTCCTACTTTCACTGACAGCCACATACTTCTCATTTTTAATTGCTACATGGATACAATTCAGGGATCATAGTAATAACGTGGGTTTAATTGACCAAGGAACTGGACTGGAATCAATAGAGTCTGTTTCATGAGAAACTCGAACTTTTTTGGATGTACCAAATAATTTGACCGTGAAATTGTTCTTGTAATTAGTTAAGTATGTTCACTTTGTAAATATCAATAAATTTTCTAATGCCAACTTTTGAACATTCACGAATTAAAGCGATAAGACCTTTGAATTACCTGACATTTGGATTAGCCTGCACTGACCGTAGTCGCAGGCGGACTCGTGTATGTGTAATACCCATTTATAATCGCGATATTTCTAGTTTGTTGGTAATGAATATATATATATATATATATGTATATAATTCTTCTAACAAGTACAATTGCCCAACAAGGAATCGCTTCGTTCTTAAAAATAATTACAAAGGACAACTATTAAGTAATTGTAACAGTACAAAATCAGCCTCTAAAATGCCTTCTTTGAATACTCTACATTCTCGACCTACCATCTAGCACCATTTGCTAGCTACGCCATTGATCCTCACAGGCATATGTGTGTGTTCAGGGTATAAGTCATCAGCAGCTGGTGTTTCGCAAGCACTAAGACCGTTGAGTAACTTCCTCGTCGGTCGTGGCGTAGCACGGCTAGCATCCCTGATTCTTTCTTTTGCCCACTTGTCTCCAGCGTGTGTTCTTTTCACCGGCCTCTTATTACATGATTCTGAATCAGTCTGCTTTGCTTCTGAAGGTGGTCTACTCGGCGTTTCGGATTCGCTGCCGTTTATTAGAGAATGTGCGCTTCGAGCTTTGTGAAGGGAGAGACGTAAAGGCTTTCGAGGAGGCGTTGGTCGTGATTTGTAATCATTTTCCTTCCGATCGTCGTTTTTTTTATAGTGACTCACTCTTGAGCACGTCTCAGAGCCATAATCTATCCTTGGTGAGCTGCCATATATGTCTCCATTTGGAAAATCTGATTCGGATTCAAACTCTGAAGACTTGGCACTTCGAGATTGTATTTTCGAAGTTCTCCTGCTAGATTTATGGGCGTTCTCTAAAACTTTGCCGTCTATTCTGTGGTACATGTAATGTCTTTCAGAGTCCAACTGAATGTCTTCTGAGCTTTCATTCTTCTTCATCTTACGTAACCTTTGCGATCGCTTGAGCTGTTCAATAATAGAAAGCGTTTTTCTCTCAGCCCAGTTCGTCTTTTTGATACTTTCTTCAATCCTGTTCGCTGCTTTCTTGATCTCGTAATGTCTTGGGTCAACGCTTGGTGTGGAATGTATTTCTCGCATCTCTAAATCACTATCTGACCTAAAGTAGTCATCGCACTTTGATCTGTTTAGTCTTTCATTCTTCATACGTTGTTTTTCTATATGTCTTTGGTTTCTCTCAATCATACGAATGGCTGCGTCTGTTTCGGCGCTATAGTCTATACCTTCATGAATACAGTGATGAGATAAAGAATGACGCATCCGTTCTGCCTTGTGTTCTAGGCTGTGAGAACTGTGCGATCTGTGATTTAGAGGTGGTGATGCCCTTGGGGATACAGCTGCTCTGGACGATGCTCCTGATGCATTTGACCTTGGTCTTATCAACGGCAAATTTGATTCAACTCCGTTCAAACCGGGGAGCTTGGCCACGATTGCTGTTATATCAGGACCTTTCTGGAAGACTTGAACTTCTGATTTTGGACTGGGCTTGTGGTTCTGTGGATCCGTGGTGATGTTGATATTGGTCACGTTCTTCTTTGACTTGTTAACTGTGATGCAACTGTCATTACTGCTCACAGAGTGCAGCTAGAATGAAAAATAAATTACATAAATTCTTGAATTTTATATTTTTACCTTATGGCAATCCGTGTGATGACACGGATTAAGAATACGGAGTGTCACATACAGTGTCAGAGAGTGACAACAGCACTGCAAAGAGAAGGAAAACTTGAAACAAATCCTATACTAACCCGTCTTGCCAGCGTAATATAGTAGGCCAAAACCTTCTTTCTAAGGAGAGGCCTATGTCCAGCAGTGGGCAAATTGAGGCTCTATAATACTTAATTGTACTATTGGCACTAGTGGCACAAAACTTACATGCTCGAACTTATAGGTATGCCAGTCGCTTACTATTAAGTATATTTGTTTACCTGCGGATGTCTGCTGAGCAATTCGGCAACCTGTTCCTCGAGGTATGAGATTCTATGCGTGAGCCTTGTGTTGTCAGCGCGCAGATCTTCTTTCGCCTTTTCTGCGTCTTCTGCGGCTGCTCTTAGAGAACCCAGCTCTGCTCGAAGAGAAGTGGCTTCATTCTGTATTTTTTTTATTTAAATATAAAACTGGACTAATTATATACTATGTTTTGTATTAGAAATTTCTTGGCGATGATAAACGTTGTGCGGTTGGACTTGTTATTTAGTCGCCTAGACTTAGGTTCGATCTCCAGACAAAAATAATATGTATTGTGATTTTTAGATGTCACTCAGAAATCTGTGTAATTACTTTCGTTCTCCAATACGTGTATAGCGATTAATGCAACAGTTTTTAGGTGTCACAAATGACAAAAATTAATATAAACCACCTGTGCTCTTGAAGTTTGTGAGGAAAAGAGGGATTTACAATAGATAAAATTAAAATAATGCACATAGAGCCTGGTTTACGATATGATGTCAAATTGCTGTGAAACTAACCTGAGTGAATCCATTTTGTTGCTTTGTGGTTGGCTGTTCTGTACGGCTGTTGCCGCTGCGCAATAGTACAACACGCGCAGGGTTGGTGGTGCTTATTGTCCGCTGGAGTTCCTCTTGGCTGTGGCAACCTATCACAGGTACGCCGTTCACTTCTATTAACCTGGAAACAAGCGTTGTAAAGTCATTGTAATATATTTTAATTATGCGATTCCAAGATTTAAGATGACTGCACGGATGGCGTAGTGGTCACCTCGCTGCTTTCTACTGTGCTGAGTGTTGTTGATTAGATCACACTTTGTGTGAGCCACAAATTGTTGTTCTTAGTCTGAGTTTTCTTTGTGTCCGTTACGTGAATGTTTGTAAAGTCCCCCGTGACACAGGATATATTCTTAGTGCGGCAGTTCTTTTATTAAAAAGATAAGAAAAATAATAGTCGTAGTTTTCTTTTCTTTAAGAGCTGACGGTCACATGATAGTAAGTGACTACCGCCGTCAACGGACATCTGAAAATCAAGAGATACATATGCGTTGCCGTCCTTTAGATGTGTCCATGAGAACACCGGATATCTGTCGGGCAGTGGTATCACTCTAGTCTCTAGGTAGTCACAATGCAGGTAGCATGTATAAATCTATGGGTCTTTCATGGCAAAACTTGTAGTCAGCATACTAAGATCGCGCAAAATGTGTATAAGTATACGTTATAGTGACTAAACTTTTTAACTCATAACTATTTAGTTCAATTAAAACAGTAATGGGTATTTTTTGTCACGAGTACGAGTCATTCAGAAAATTTAATGAAAAACTTGTGTAATACGAGTGAATCTGCGGATAACATGATATGTATTGTAACCCTTGTGTAGCGGTCAAATATTTCCCGAGGAATTCCTTACAATAATGTAAATCTAGATGGCGTTTGGCTGCAGTGCATGGTCCATCTACGGGCATTGATAACATCGCGATCGGTGTGATAGTGGGACACTGGTCCAACGAGCCAGGCGGTGTGGCCGCTGATGCATATTGAAAGCCATCGCAATGAATATACAACTAAGTTTAATTTGTTATGTAATTGTGTTAATCTTTTTTTCCTTATTTGGAAAAAGATTAACAAATAGCCACATGTCCTGTAATGGGGTATATTATTAAAGTAGTGTTTTTTTTTGTTAGATAAGGTAGGAGGGTAGGATGCCTGAGAAAAACATTATCACAGAATAGGGGTAAGGGTAGGATAGACACAAGGACAGTACCCACTATCACTCAAGTCATTACTGAAGACATTCATCTAAAACTTATCAGAATAAAACAACTAACCGATCTCCAGCCTTCAAGGTTGCGTTGTCGCCTGGCCACTCGATGACCATGCCGTTACCGTGAGGCGCTGCGCCCCACGAGCCTTCGCGAAGCTCCGCCGTCACTAACGATGCACACCCACCGCTGTCTCGTACCGCACTGTGAACAAACACTCAAATATAACCCTGGTCTCCGAAAGGGGCTATTTCTGCTGCTGAAGCATGTCACACTACTAACATTCTGTAGTCTTTATGATGATTCATTCATTGGTTGGTAACTTTCTGACGTCATTACGGTGGCCAGTACGTAAGCACTTTAAAAATTATTGTAAGTAAACTTTTTTATACCTTTATCGCATATTGTTCTCTTACTATAAAAATCTAATAATACCTTACTCTACTTTTTATACCCTTTTCTTTTAGTACGTAGTAGATGAAATATGCGAATGCCATCTCATCTTAGAGCTGTTTGTAAAAGGGCAAGCTGGGACTGGCACACTTGACCGAGATAGAATAAACTCTGATACAAAAGTCGAAAAAAACATAATGTTTGTTACCCTACAGATTTCCTCTGAAATTAAGACAAGTTCAATGCGAAATTCTTATTCAAACCCGAGTAGCAGTTTTTAGAGGGCCGGGTATGTCTCTCCAATAGAAAAGATCCACTGACTAGGATCGTGCCTGACCGTGGCTCAACTGCTGTTGTTTTGAATATATATAAGTTGTATAAGTCGTGTGGTGACGGATTAAGAATACAGAGTGTCACCACCCCAATTCATCTCGTGGGTGTCGTAAGAGGCGACTAAGGGAGCAAACTACGCAAGACAACAGTACCTCAATTCTGCTGTTTTATTGTACTGAGTTAGTGTAGACTACCGATATTTATACCGATGCCAATGGCCACTCGATGGCATCTCAATAGCGTGTCAGTGGTATGGCAGTGGCTTGGCGTGATCATAAAATAGCAGAATTGAGGTCCAGCACTGCAGAGAGAAGGAAAACTTGACACAAACCCTATACCAACCCGTCTGGCCAGCGTGGTATAGTAGGCCAAAACCTATTTTCTAAGGATTGGCCTATGTCCAGCAGTGGACTGGTAAAGGCTGATGATGATTGATAATGTATATGTATACTTCGATTAGTATGCATAGCTACGACATAGCACTGATGTGCAATCATTGCGCTATAGAAGATTAGAAGATGGCACTGCAATAGATTCTGTTGTAATATTATCGTAGTTATTTTCTAATTATTGTGTTATTTTAAAATATTTGTATAATTCTCTTACTTTAAACACTTATTTTGAGTTTTATCCATCAAAGCCAAATCGATTAAAGACATTTTATACAAGTATTAATATAAAAGTAGATATAATCTGTTGCTTACAATGTAGCGTAAGATTGTGCGCCATATTTGGCACAGATAAATAAAATATACTTACTACCGTTAAGAGCAGCACGTCAGCGGCTCCGGGGACGGCGGATACATTACAGATTTTTATGTTTTATTGGAGGCCTTTACGAGAAGACATCGCTCATAAAGAGTTTATTGTCTTTTTATACTGATTGCTATGAAATAAGGATGCGTCTATTAATAGTACTGGCTCAATAAGGACGAAAGAGAGTCGTCCTACAGGCCATAGGGACTTGTCGGTAGACGTGCCCTAGGGTAAGTATGCCACTTCTTTATCAGTCATTTGTGCCTCAACTTCCTCAAGTTTCATATGAAGAGCATGACGTCACACTCACCAGTAATCGTTCACACTATACAAATAAATTATACATGCAGGTCATTGACCCCTTTCACAGTACTCTTTTCTCCACTCGCTAGAATACAGTAATTAAAATGATGTCACGCCTTCTGTCACATTTAAATCTTAATATATTCTTAATGGTTTCGTTTTGTACGTAAATATTCAGCAAAGCTAATGTTTGAGAATCTTCCCACGACTAGTGAAATATCCCTAAGTTTACAAAGACAGCTTTTGATATCTGTGACGACTGTGAGGAGTGTATGAGTTTTAAATTACGCTCTCTTAAAAACCACAACAATCTTAATGACGTCATGACAGGTGACATTAAGTCAAATTAGTCTCTTTTTACTAAACGTCAAAAGGTTGGTTCAGTTTAAAAAATAAATTATATGAAGCTTTGCTGTCGTGATATCGATGATTTTCTTGTCAATTATATAATTAAAAATACTTCTATAAAAACTTAAAATAAACACAGAATTGGCTTTATTTTGAACTTGGCAAAAAATCAGTTCTACTAATACAAATTACTTACAAAGCCAATTTTCTATTCAAACAGAAATCGTTTAGAAAAATGATTTAAATATAAACAGAAAAGCAATTAACGATTTGAATTGAAATGTGAAATTGAAACCAATATTTCTTAAAACAGTCTGCTGATATAGTAAAAAAAAAGGCATGAGGGGTCTATGGACCCCCGGGCGGAAGGAAGTTTCCTTCGCTTTCTGGTAGGCGTTTGCTATACATATAATTTATATTATAAAATATCAAGTTCATCAACAGCCTCTAATGTTGGACACAGGGCTCACCTTAAGGTAAGGTAAGGAGGAAAATAACAAGTTAATTGAGTATATTTAAAAAATGATAAAATGTATTATTATGTATAAAATAAATAATGATAAATTAAATACTTAATGATCTCTGATTATTAAGTTAATAACAAAAAGCCGAAGAGAAGAGAACCGTCGAGTCTTTCGGCGCACGGGAGAGCTGTGTGCGGCGATGTATTTATACACGGTGTAACTGTATCAAGAAGTGTCGGAAGAAAATCTTGTTACATATACATTTTTCGTTCTCGTTCCCATCCCATCCTCTCAGAGTGTGTAACGCGCGATAAGGAACTTCGTTCCAAAAACACCTTATGTAAAATTAAAAGAAATAAATATGTTAAAACGGCAATTACATAATATGCAAACTAAACAGCATAAATTTTCTTCTGAAGAACACAAGCTTCTTTCGTCTTTGATTACGCCACTGTGTATTTGTTAAGTATTTTTCACTTTCTAATTTATTGTCTGGGAACCGTTGAAGAAATAACTGCATGCTACAGAAGTGTATTCGTAAGAAACTATTTGTGTTATTGGTTGGCGTGACCGTCCGGCAATCATTACCACATTAGTGCGGGGAAGGAGAGCGTTGCGTGTAAATAACTGCCAAAGCGATGACAGTAGCGTTTCTGTAACTACTTATCGAATTAGACTACGAGTGATATTGATCTGAGACATAGCTTTTTGATACAATCTATACTAATATTATAAAGCTGAAGAGTTTGTTTGAACGCGCTAATCTCAGGAACTACTGGTCCGATTTGAAAAATTCTTTCAGTGTTAGATAGCCCATTTGTCGAGGAAGGCTATAGGCTATAAATCATCACGCTAAGACCAATAGGAGCGGAGCACCAATAAAGAATGTTTCAAAAACGGAGAAAATTTATTACTATTGAGAGACGCAGACGAAGTTGCGCAGGTCAGCTAGTAATTTATAACCTTTGAACTTGGGATTATTTGGAAATTAGAGGACATCTTTAAAAGCAATATTTATAGGCCCATTCCGATTTTGTCGGCCGCTGCCACTCGGGACGGACGTATGGCTCGACAGCCGTTGGGCCCCCGCCTTTTAAACCCCTAATATCTTCCAAAATAATTATTTTAATGATATGCTGTAAAAAGTATTTAATGCACAACGTATCTAATGTATTTAAAACATTTGTCAAACGATAAAAGCATATATTATTATGCAAATATTATGCAATATATTATTATGCAATATATTATTATGGAAATCTACATCAAACATACATAATTGTATAAATGCATGGACGGACTGCACAGATGGCGTATTGGATTAAGCGATCGCCACGCCGCCTACTATTACGCTGTATGTTGTGGGTCCGATCCTCACATGGGTCGACACTTTGTGTGATTCACAAATTGTTGTTCTGAGTCTGGGTGTTCTTTGTGTCCGTTTTATGTATATTTGTAAGGTCCCCAGCGATACAGGATATATTCCAAATGCGGGAGTTTTCTTAAAAAAAGGTATTAATATGCCACAAGAATACTACGTCAAAGTAAAATTCACGGACAGAGGAATGTGTTATTTGGAATGCTTAAAGTTTACATTTAAGCGTTAAGTATAAAGCATATAAAGCTTAAATTTTCAAACAATAAGTGCTACAGGAAAACTTGACACAAACCCTATACCAACTCGTCTGGCCAGCGTGGCATAGTAGGCCAAAACCTCCTTTCTATAGAGAGACCTATGTAAAGCAGTGGACTATTAAAGGCCGTTGATGTGATGTGTGATGAACTGCTACAGTTTGTTCAGTTGTTTCCTCCAAATATACGACTTAATATTGTAGTTGAAGTTTTGTTGCATTCCTTGATAATTTTATAGACTTTTCGTATAGTACAAGCTAACAATATCCCTACATACTAGACAGACGTAAGTTGTTGTTTACATATTTCATACATGGAACGTGGAGTAAAAGCAATAAATCGAATAGGTCAGATTTTCATAAATGTAAGTCGAAATCAGAAAGTCCAAGTACTGTATTCCACCATAGCAATATTAAAGTTAAAAATTATTACTTATATTACGCTAATTAATTGCAAAACACAACACTATTAAAGCTGCCTACATATGTCTAATTTCCTGGCGTTATTGCCGAATTATACACGGGCACTTTCACTTAACTTGTCTGTAACTGCTAGAAATAACCAGTGGGTGTATTGTGCGAATTCTCACGAGTGAAATCATAAGTAAATTTGAATTAAATATAACACAACAGATTACCTTGTTACCACATTGATATATGACAGAACTCGTTGTACAACATTGAGCTATTGTTAAAGTTTTGCACCTTTCATTGAGTCATTCATATTTATTCGTTTCATCAAGATAAGAGTATATAAGAGGAATCTAGCGAGATAATCTCTTTATTAGTTATTGTACATATTTACTTTCGTTTAAAACTAGTGGGAAATTTAATTTCGAGGCGTCGTAATGAGTGCAGAGAATGAGCTATATGGGGATTTTTATACATTATTTTTGTTGAGTTTTAATGAAATGTTACGTAAAGAAACATCTCACGCTCTAGGAAATAATATGTTACAAAATTTGTGACTATATTG